ATGTCTTCCCAACGTTTGAACCAAGCGTCGAAAGTAACGCCGGAGTGGGGGTCATAAGTGAACTCAGTGATAGAAGTAGCTGCTGCGTCCACTGCTGTGGACTGTTTTGCGAAAGAGTCTGGTCCAGAAAAATGCAACCTGAATTTTTGCATCATGGACTCCATCAACTTCATGTGTGCTATCTCGATTAGAGTTTTTTGTTGCTGCAGAAAAGCTAGCAGCTTTTATGTGGAGATGGACATAGTGAGTTCTAACTATGCGTCTCCTAAAAACCAAAAAATACGTTAAGCAGTTGGGCGGGGGATAGATTTATAGAAGGGCCCTACAAATCGGTTTTGCCATAATATAAATTAACATCAATAACAATCAGATAATTTAAATTATGTTTTCAGAGAATAGACAATAGTGTTTTGTATTAGTAAAGTGGGGGTAAGTTTAATTATGATTTGGCGCATCATAATCGTGAAACAAAGAGCAAATTAAGTTTAGAAAGGTCTGTTTTGCAAGCACGCTACGTTTTGTGACATAAATTAAGTAATACACTTATAAGGCTGTAATCAGTTCTACTCCACCGAAAATAACGATCGTCGTCGTCAGCTTTATGTATCAAGCCGTATGCAAAGGGTGCCCAAATATCCTAACTCCATATAGCAGAATTATTGAATAGAAAAACATTTGTCATCTTATAACTGAGTCCAGAAGAAAGCAAATATGCTGAAAACACCTCCAGTCTATAAAGAAAAAAAGGTTTTCCACTTTCGGTTGCTGATGTACCAGAATTATTTTTTGATCTTACCAATTCCGCCAATTTTTATACTGACTTTATCTTCAAAAGACGTAAAGCACACATATATATTCGATGCCAAAATATCTAATAGATACGGTTTTCAGGAGGTTACTTGTTATTGAAAGCATTTTAATTAATCTAAGGAATATTTATTCACGACAGTTGCTATGTACGTTCATTTTTCTCAAAAATGAGTAAACACGTTTCGATGATTCTAAAGCCATGATACAGACAGACGTCGTGAGCATTATCATCTGTTTGGAGAAGTGTAATGCTTTTAACAACGGGGAAACTATATCATCATGTCCCATTCCCTAACGCATCCACCAAAAACGCTAACTACGGCAATCCGGTAGCACTGGCGCTGTGTCCATGCACGTAATTCTTCGATATATTCTCATAGGATTCGATTCGTGGCTGTTTTACCATCTACGATAATGATCTCCTCCACTGTATCTAACACAGAAATTATAAAACAGAAATGATACAGAACGGCTAGTGCTGCAAGCGTCATTCCGCAATTTGAAAAAAAGGACGGTAAGCTATCGCAAACCAACATTGCATAGGGTTGCAATACTGTTTATCATGCAGTCCAATTCCAAATATTTTAAGTGTCGCTAGGATATCGAATCTTTGATGAGCTTCTTTCTGACCGCTGCGAAAAAGTTGATTCTGCAAAAAATGGCTACTTAATCAGTATGCACTTTTATCAGTGATTTTGACTGCCTTTATAAATTCAAATATATTTTATAGAAAGAAAAAAAGAAAAACCCTGTCTTGTACTTATTTGATAGCAAATTACGCCTTCTTTAAATTTTAATTTTAAAGGAAGGCTTCGCTTCGGTTTAAAAATACCTTCTAATTTTGAGTAATTTTACGACTGTACGTTGTTCATTCGTAATAAATCGTATGCATCAATTTTTTAATGCTGCCCCTGATATATGCAGCATGATCCATGTCTATTGCGATATTCTATGAGAGCTATGCAACTACTTCCTCAAACCGTAGGCAAGAACGTACTTTTCCTTCAACAGGATGAACACAAGATTCAGTTCGTTAAAGTGAATTCAGTCCAAGCAGTTGGTCGGTTTCAAAATTATTCGGCAATTAATAAACGTTTTTTGAAACCAATGGAAAGACTTCCTTTAAGAATGAAATTTAAAGAAGGCGTTATTTTTTTTCTAC